GTCCATCATTGCCCACTCCAATTCAGGGTGTTGGCGAGGGAGGAATCGATATTGGTCCTCCTTCATATCCTCAGAACGGCGACCACGGAGACCCATGCAGGCTTCAGCGGCTGCATCTTCTATGCCATCTTCCATGGTGGCACGATGAGCATGATGCGAATAGCTTGCGTCCAGCTGATATGCTTCCTTCTCTTCATCCCTAATGGAGATGCATGCCCTAGTCTTCCAATATGTGTCCTCCAGAGGGTGCGTATGTTCTTCATAGACATACTCCACAGCTGCGTCCCAATCAGCATAGTAGGTCTGAAGAATCCCCATAAGTCAGTGGTGCGAAATGGAGGATTCACACCCCGGCTTGTACCAGATCTTTATAGTCCATCCCATGGCAGGGGTAGGCTGATCTTCTTGAACGGCGGCCTCCTCCTCCTCCTCATCAGACAATACAACGACCCCCACTTCTTCGGGTTCTTCTTCGGGCTCTTCGTAGAATGGCTCAGGCATAGGTGTTGGTGAGTCAACTTCTTGCTCCTGGGGTTCCTCCTCCTCACGTGGCTCCATGGACTCATACAAGCCACGAGGCGGGTAGTAGCCTCCGATGCTGATGCGAGCGGTCTTATTGTCACGAGGCATCTACAGAATTAGATTTAGTTAGATTAGAAGCAATAATTTTCATAACAGAGTGAGGCAAAAGAAGCATAAAATTTAGCAAATAACCAGAGTGAGATGGGAAGCATGAAATGAGTGAAGCAAAAGAGGCTAAAACGACCATTGCTAACTAAGCTTGCGTCCTACAGTCAACACGGCTCTGATACCAATCTGTCACACCCGATTTTAAGGATAAAATGGGATGCATAATCTTATATGCGCCCAGAGATCAGTCACACACATAAGCCGACAAATTATAGATAGTACCATCACAAGTATTTATTACATCATGAATAATAAGACATAGTCTCGCATAAATATAGCGGAAGTATAAAGAAAAATCTCTCGCGGAAGCTCCATATCACAGGGACGTCAACTGGTTAACCACAAGTCTAGTAATCCTCAGGAAAGTCGTCATTACCATAGCCATCTGTTACCCATCCGGGATTTTTATCCAAATAATGAAAATAAACAAGCGTAAGTACGTGTCGTACTCAACAAGTGTAATATGGGGTTCATGAGGCTCAAAAGGATTGACATAGGTTTAACAACATTCAGCTTTTAGTTGTCATAATTTTAGCATAAGAGTAGCAACAAGTTATTTTAATCCCATAGTAAGCACATGATCAATGTAAACAAGAATAATAAATAGTATAAATGGATAATTCTTAGTGATCATCTATTGCATAAGGGTCCAAGGCCGCTCGTGACCGTGAGCACGGTTGATATACCAATTTTACACTCTGCAGAGGTTGTACACTTTCACTGTGAGTCGTGATACCCATATGCCCCGGTTAATTACTCCCAAAACACTTCCAAGGTGAGCAGGCATGGTTCACTATGAAGCCTTTCAAAGGTTCGTCTAACAAGTTAGGGCCATTAGATTTACTCATCAAACAGATATAGGAATCCCCTGTCGAATGGCACAATTCCATCACGGCTATACACATAAGAGTAGAGGCTGTCCTATACCGGATTCGGCAAGCCATTCTTACGCCATAAAGGTAACATATAACAAGCTAGAAAAGGTCCTCATACTGAGCTAAAGCCAGAGCCATGTAGCCCTCACAACTATACTATAAGTCCCGGATGTTCGCTTACAGATAAGTCCTTAGAGAGAGGAATCTGAAGTATTTAGAAAGTAACTAAACACTCTAGCCCTCTGTTTCCAAGTTGCTAAAAAGTCATATTTTAGTGTTTATTGCATATACCATTAGTCAAGTTACAAGATCATGGTTTAGTTGAGCACTAGTAAAGCTACCCAATGAATATCCCATGGGAGACAAGGTATAAGTTTAATTCTAGGAAATCCCTATCAAGATGACACATGCAACATGAATTAAATGTATTAAAGTTGATAGGAAACAAGGATGATCCCATGCTATACTTGTCTTGAACAAAATGTTCATGCTGATCCTGGTCGTCAAAGTAGTACTCTTGATCACCCACGAATTACTCACCGTCTATACTCGATAATCACAGCAACATACAAGCATCTAGAAGCAATCATGCAAAGCAAACAATGACTATAGATTAGAATAGTACACCAACAGCATAAAATCAAGATGAAATGTTTGTAAAATGAATCTACATCCCGCAATGAACACACAGACGCGAAGATCACAAAAATCAGAGCTAAAACGAAAAAGTTATGAATTAAACAAGATTTCCTTTATTAAAACAATAGATTAAATCTAACCTTGAATTTGAAAAGTTGAAAATATACTTAACAGTAGTATGAACATGTAGATTACTCATTTACGAATCTAATGCAACTTGAATGGTTCAAATCGGAGTTAAAACGAAGATTTTATGGTTAAAACAAGATGAGTGGCAAAACTGTAAATAGATGAAAACGAATTTTGGATCTAACCGAAGAAACTACTCTTTCAAAAGAAGAAAACGTATTTTAGGAATACACTTTGGACCACGGGTTAACACATAGAAAACTTCAGGGGCTTGTTTGCAAAAAGGCCGGCCGAAGGGGTATGGTGAGATATGAGCTGTTGGATCTAATCTGCACGGCTCAGATTACACGAGGGAGAGAGAGAGAGCGGACCGGTCAGCCGGAACAGTGCTGGCCGCGGCGGCTTCCATGAATGGCGACGAAGAAACTCATCGGCGCACATGGTTAGGGCCCTAGAGGCCACGACAGAGTAAACCAAGAGCTCGGGAAGTAAGAGGAGGAGATGGCGAACTCACCCAGGTAGTTTTCGCGGTCGGAGACGGCACGGAGGTGACGTGAGATGCGGCGGAGCGTACGGCCAAAACTACTTGGGTGAGTAGCGGCGCGGAGTCGGGCGAGGTGGCTGCGGCTCCGTGGCTTGGGATGGGGAGGCACGGCCGTGGGCAGCTAGTATTTAATGTCCGGGGAACCTTGGGCTACATGACAAGGCGGCGAGGCTTGAGCGGAGCGGAGTCGGGCGGCGGCGGCAGTGTCCGATGTGGATACGCGCGGGAGGAAGAAGGCGCCGCTGACGCGTGGGCCTGGACTGTCAGCGACACACGCGGAGAAGAGGGGAACGGCGCGGGCGCAGCTGCTGCCGGGCTGGCCAGCGGGATGGGCCGCGGGGAAAGCGGGCCACACGGGGATGGAGGTAAGGCCGAGCTGGCTAGTGAAGGGAGAGAAGGCCGAGCGGGAGTTGGGCTGCTCGGGCCGAAAGCCGAGAAAGGAAGAAGAAGAAAATAAAATCCTTTTTTCTATTTTTCTTGACACATTTTCAAATCCAATTTAAACTCAAATTCAAATTCTTTTGCAAATTTCAATCAAACCAAAGCATCACAAAATAAATATGCAGCAACATGTATGCACATACATGTATGTTGTCCTATATTTGATATTATTTTTAACAAAGTTATTATTTTTCTAAATTTAAATGCTCACAAAATGCATAATTAAACCATTTTCTCCTATTTTAAAACCATGCAAATTTTAGAGTGTTACAGTGGGTAACAAATTCTGTCAAAATTGTGCAAGGATTCATCAATGTTACATTTTAAAAAGAAAAAATGGATTCTATATCTAGCATTAGCTTCCTCTGTATTCGAAGACGAGCTACTTGCATGATAAGAAGACACAGTTTCGCCCAAGAGAACACAAGGCCTAGTAGATGCCTATGTTTACGTGTGCCATACATGGAAATTCATGGTCGGTTCTTCAACTTGACTGGGGATGTCTCTTAGTTCCTCTACTCTTAAAATGTTATTTCTAGGTTTATGAACTTGTAGATATCATCGAGATCCAAACAGCTCCTACTGCTCTGTACGCTAACGTGGCATGCTGGCTGTGCATTGACGTGACCCCTACATATAAGGTCGGTTCTTCAACTTGGCAAGGGGTGTCACCTAGGTAGGTCTATCTACTCTCAAATGTTATTTCTAGGTCTATGAACTTGGCTTTGTGTATTATCTAGGTCCAAATGGGTCTTAACCTGCTATGTACGCTGACGTGGCACGTTGACTGTGCATTGACATGACCCCTACATGTAAGGCCGGTCTTTCAACTTGGCAATGGATATTTTAGCACATATGTAGTTTATATTTCATAACAATACAGATGGATATCTAGATGCAAATTAAAGGGGTTATTTATATATTTTTTTATAGCAACATATGTGCTAATTTAAATGAGAACTTAAGGGTTATCGTATTATCTTTTATAAATTATAATCAAAGAGGTGAGTTATTTAAATACAAAATTAGGATTTATTTTTAAATTATCTTTCATGATGGCAAATGTGAATAATATAGATGCAAATTTAATATGTTAATTTAAATTTTCTTTTATAATGGCTAAAGTGGGTATTTAGACGCAATTTTATATGATTATTTTATTTATTTTTCATAATGGCATAAAGTGGTGGTAATTGTTAAAAAATAGATCCAATGGTTATTATTAACAATAATTGTTAGAGTCTAGTAAATTAATGACCAGATGCTTATAAATATACGAGAGTTTTTAAGATTTTTTTTTTCTTAACACGTATCGTGAGGATTAATGTTACATTAGAGCCGCCAATTAATAATAGTAAGTAGATTGTCATCATCATGTATTTCATTCAGTCATAATAATGAAGGCAGAGATGCATCCGGATTGCAACCCCAGTCAGAAAGTGTCCATACATATATACTGTATTCATCAGATGGATCGATAAGACAACCGGTCCAGCACGGGATCGACTCCGAGCTGAACAAAGTACACAATCACTTAGACCAAACTGCATGCTGATCGATGATGGCGGTGCCTATACTGCTGCTAAGTGCTAGCTAGTTAGCACACCATTATTGATTTGTTGGCCCTTATTGACGAGACTGGTGATGCTATATATTTGCTGGATTATACATGTACGTCGTCCTTAGGAGGACGCCGAGGCAGGAGTGCCGATGTACTTCTTGATGGCGTCCAGGATCTCATCCTTCTCGGGACCTTCAATGGTCTCGAGCGTCTCGCCGTTCTTGATGAAGACGAAGGTCGGCATCCCGTCGATCTTGTAGAAGTCAGCAACTTCCTGTCGAACCATCGAGGAAACAGCATGATCAGTACATGCATGGGCGGGGTTGAAATCAAACGCACATGCATGCATGCATCATACCAGTACCAATATATATATTGTGGGAGTTTCGGACGACACCACCGTCGCTCACCTTGAGTTCGAAAACATTAACCTCGAGGAAGACAGCGCTAGGGAACTTCTTGGCCCACTCCGCGTACACCGGGGCAATCTCTAGGCAAAAAGGGCACGAGGGGGACATGAAGTCGATGATCACCTGATGATAAGGGGTAGGCCGGTGAGACAGGTTGATAAAGCTCAATGTCAGAGGCTGTAGAATTGTTGCATCACAAGAACAAGAACTCATCATCATTGTCGGGGAAAAAAAAGAACAAGAACTCATCCTAATCGTTGAACAGACAGCATACCATGCATGGATTCATGCATGGGAACCTTGCATACATGTAGTATATTGGCTGCTAACCCTCACACTGGACGCGCATGCATGATTCATGTCACAATTGCCGCCTCCAGTTGACCAGTCAGTCAAAATTAAGTTACCGCAAGCTCAGACTGATTTCATTTCGATCTGGCAATAATCCCAACACGCGCCCAAACGCGAGCACCTTCGATGCAATTCAGAACAAATTTGGAAACCATAGACGAATCGTGGAAACCTGAACAGAGCTTTTGCAATTTCGGAAACCAGAGAGACGAATTGAGGAAACCTGAACAGCTTTTCCCAAACAACAATATATCACGGGATGCAGATGGCGTACCAGCTTGCCGGCCTCCTTGCCCTTGGCCATCTGGGCGTCGAACTCATCCTTGGTGTGGCACGCGATCACGGCCCCCTGCGCGGCTGCCATTCCTCTCCCTCTCTTCTTCCGATCCCCGCTCCCCGGTGGGATCAAAAGCTAGCTTCTGATGCTGACTGAGAACTGAGGTTTCTCTCGGGGCCGGGATGGCTTGCGGAGATTATTGCGTTGGTGGCTTCATGTGGGGCGCGTGCCTTGCGGGTTTTATAGGCGCAGCGACTGGGAGTGGGAGGGGGCGAGCGAGTACGTGTTGGCGCCTGTTGGGTCGCGGCGGGGGAGCTTTGGCGGCGGTCTTCAACTCTCTGCTTGACACGGTGTGCCTGTCGAATTCTTTTAGCGTGTGCTTGGTTGGTTGGATATGCATGGATGGAACGGAGCATACATGGATATCAAGTGTTTGGTTTCGTGGATCGGTGGGATCAGGAAATCTCTAGATAGGGAATATAGCACAAGATGCTGGATTTCCTAGTGTGTACTGACTTAAATTATTATCGACGCGTGTATTATCTCATACTCCCTCATTATTCAAAAATAAAGTCGTCTTGACAGCGAAACGGTCTCTAAAGCATAACTTTGACTTCTTATTTTTATAAAACTATTTATCAAAAAGTGGTATATGTATATTTTTATGAAAGTATTTTTCAAGACAAATCTTTTTATATGATTTTCACATTTTCAAACTCAACAACTTAAAAGTTATTCATGATTTATATTCTCAATGTTTGACCCAAGCCTTGTCCAAAACAACTTTATTTGTGAGTACGAAGGGAGTACTATCAAACGTCCTCGTGCATCCAAGTGAATGCGTTTCAGTACATTGGCACCCAAACGTGGTGTGTGTTTGGACGTTTGAACAACTGTATGTATATTAAATCACAAACACAGTTTGAATTTTGGTGGGAAATATACTAGAGCAAATCTTGGCGTGAAATGTACCAGAGGCGGCTAGAGTACAACCATCTCTAAAAATAGATTTGTAGAGACGGCTTCCATTTCCAACCGCATCTGTTGATTGATCGTATAAGTTTGGACCCTTTGTACTTTAACTATTTGTTTTGCTACTGCACAATATAACTTAGACACTCAAAACGCACGCACACTCACCCCTATGAATGCATGCACGCAAACCCTACCTCTATGAGCATCCTCGAGATTGACGAAGTCATCACAAGTGCCTCGCTTGCGACGAAAACGTTGCTTACCACTGAAAGCACAACGCCGTTAAATCCTAGAATATTCACTCCCACGGGAGTCGAATCCAGGACTTAAAGTGCTACTGAGACTCTTATAACTAATAGGCTACAGTCACTTTCGCCCTTTGTACTTTATCTTATCCCCGTAATCGTATAAGTTTGTAGCAAAGGGGAAGTATCATGCACTACATACCCATGCATGGACCATTTTAGATATATTATTTGAAGGTGACACCGTAGCTTGCCATTGCATCCAAAGTCTTCTTTGTAGTAGTAGCGTGTTAGGGTATTGTCATGTTTTTATTGATAATATACGAACCCCGACTTAATTAAGGAAGATGCAAAGAGTAGAACATACATGTATACATCGGGTGTCAATGAATAGAAGTTTGCTGCTATTTTAGTTTTATCATCAAGCTGCACTTATGCATACATTGTTGGAAAATGAGTTGAACCACATAGTGCACATATATCCCCTTGTGACCAATTAAGTCGTGCTTAGACGCTTAGTACACCCCACATATAAAGTGATATCAGTTTATTGCAAAGGGAAACTATATATGAGTCGTGCACTATACCCACCATGTACCATTTGAGATATTATTGGAAGGTGAGGGCGGTTGCCATTGCCACCCAACCATTACTTTGTACAGTAGTGTAGTATAGCGCGTCCCGTGTTTCTTTGATAACAGCTACTCATATAAAATAAAATGTATGGACCCCAACTTAAGGAAGCTGCAAAGAGTAGAAAGTAGAAACCATATATACCTCGGGTGTCAATGAATAATAGAAGTTCGCTGCTATTTCAATTTTGTCATCAAGCTGCATTTGTGCACATTATTGTTGGGAAATGACTATTTACAAATTGAACTTGATATCTAACGCATGTCATCATCCTTGGAACATCATATTCTCTACTAGGTGCTCTGCAAGTGGAACAAGGAATTTGGTATTTGGAGAGGTGTAGCTATCAGTGATTTGAGTTCCACATTTCGCATCTAATTTGTACAGCCACAGTTACTCACGTGTAATACCTGGAAGCATAAGCATCCATAGGTGCGGTTTTCTTGTCGTGCAAAATGGGAGGCCCAAGAAAGGCCACCAGTAAGATAAGACGGCACAGGGCATATACATTCTGTTTAGTTACTCATAATTGATATTGGCCTTGAAAAATACAGCAATAGTACTACTTAACACGATTTTATAGTATTATATAGGTGGGTAAACAAATTTTGTCAAATTTGTGCAAGGCTTCATCTATGTTACATTTTTTTAAGAAAGAAAAAATGGATCGTGTATCTAGCATAAGCTTCCTCTCTGTATCCGAAGACGGAAGCATGGATGCTCTTTTTTTTTCAGAGCTAATTGTTGTATGTTAAGAAAACATAGTTTTGCCCAAGAGAACACAGGGCTGGGTAGATTCCTCTCTCTTTATGTGTGTGATATATGCACTCCCTCCGTCTTAAGTTCTAGATATCAGTCAAATTTTTAGAAAAACCGTATAAGTCGCTTTGACTTTTTTGGTTCATCAAATTTACTATGTATCTAGACATATTATTATATCTAGATACGTAGCAAAATGGATGTACCAAAAAAAAGTCAAAGCGATTTATAATTTGTAACGGAGGGAGTAGTGTTTTTATAATATTTACCATGACAAAATGCTACTTGTATAGAAATTGGAATCAAAATTTCACCTTTTATACTGTGCTAATGTTCTATATACAGCTTATATTTGTGACTAGCTAGAGTGAGCACATAATCACTCTAGTCACAAATATAATAATGTCTTAAATGTACAAGCTTTGGTTCTCTCAAAAAAAATGTGCAAGCTTTGTGACCCTTAGAAACATTTTTTATCTTATACAATTTTGTCAAAAGTTTTACATTTCTTCTCATTTTTTAAATATGTATTTGTAATATATCTTTTAGCCACCACATATCACCCTATTTGGATTTATAGGACTAACAACTAGTTGATTATTTGTTAGACCCCAAGGATCCAAATAGGCAGACTAATTGTTAGTCCACTAGTCTATAGATATGAGCTAACATGACTATTTGTTAGTCCTAGTCCATCAGTATGCCAAAATCCATGATCTAAATTACTCCCTCATCCCGAATAGACTTGCCTTTTTATGAGAATTTTAGGAACTTGGGATCTTAGTGTGCAATTTGCATGTACCGAAACCGAGACATATATGAGAACCCGAGATAAGTTTAGCGAACCAAACGTGCAATTTGCAAGTTCCACAACTGGGATGAGAACTCGAAACAAGTTTAAGGAGCTGAATGTGCAATTTCAAAAAGTACCAAGATCCAAATGAGAACTCGGGACAAGTTTGAGGACCGCTACTAAAATTTACTCTTTGATCTTATTAATTGTGCATCTTTTATCCACGTCTAGAATCTCTAGGGCTTAACGTCTTATTATCTTTTATTTAAAGTTTCCTACATAATGTAACAAGAGTATTAATATAATTTAAAGTGATTTTTTTAGCGTTATTGGTATACGATTTGTGAAGGGAATTCACTGTCACCGTATATGGCTTAGCTTTATGTGCTGGGGATGAGCCTGGGGCAAAGGATACAAGCAGCTCAGCGTCGTCATCATCATGTGTTTCATTCAGTCATGCTCGTAGAGACATGAAGGCAGACACCCGGATTATTGCAACCCCAGTCAGAAGTATCTCCATACATTCTGTACTCATCAGATCGATAACATATCGACTCCGAGCTGAACATAAGAGTACACAATAATCACTTATTTAATTAGACGACCAAACTGATCGATAATGGCGGTGCCTCCTGCTAGCTACCACGCCATTCGTTGGCCCTTATTGACGACTGGTGATAGATGCTATACTTAGTTTGCTATACGTCTCCTTAGGCGGACGACGCAGAGGCTGCAGAAGTGTTGTCGATGAACTCCTTGATGGTGTTGCGGAGCTTATCTGGATAGGCACCAACAAAGCTCTCCAGCGTCAGATCGTCCCTGATGAAGACGAAGGTCGGCGCCGCCTGGATGTTGTAGCTCTTAGCAACTTCCTGTACGTCGTCGAACGAGGAAACACAGCTAGCATGATCAGCATACGATGACGACATGATCGATCATGGGGCCGGGTTGAATTGAAACCAAATGCATGCACATGATTTGGTGAATTAATTAATTAATCACCTATATATATTGGCTATTATTGGGACGACACCGACACCGTACGTACTCACCTTCAGTTCGAGAATGTCGACCTTGAGGAAGACACCTTTAGTAGGGTACTCCTTGGCGCACGCCGCGAACACCGGGGCTATCTCTTGGCAAGCACCGCACGTGGGGGACATGAAGTCGATCACCACCTGATCGATCGACGCCAGGGTAGAGGACATGAAACAGGTTGCTGACAAATTAGTAAGCTCAATGCTAGAAAGAATTGTTAGTAGTAACAAGAACAGGAACAAAAAACTCATCGTTGAACAGACAGCGCGGGCATATTATCGAGAAAATTAAATTACAGAGACAGATCGATGGCATACGTACCAGCTTGCCGGCCTCGTTGCCCTTGGCCAACTGGGCGTCGAACTCCTCCTTGGTGTGGCACGCGATCACGGTCCCCTCCGCCGCGCCCGCCATTCCTCTCGCTGTCTTCTTCTTCCTCGCTGGGATCGAAAGCTAGCTTCTGATGCTGACTAAGGTTTTCTCTCGGCGGCTGGCTGGTGGCCAGTGGCCTAACCTAGGGCGCGAGCCGCGGCTTTTATAGGCGCAGCAACGTGTGGGGTCGAGGGAGCTTGGGCGGCGGCTCCGATCCCGGCCCGGTGCTATTCGTACTCCGGGGTCTTGAGCTCCATCTCTACATACCGTAACTGATCCATCGACCCATTTGCTGTTTACCGCGGTGCACCAATATTGGATAGTATATGGGTCCGTTGTTTACTTAGACAAGAGCACGATGAGGTTACTGCTTCTCGTTGGTTGCTTGCTTAAACAAGAGCACGGCTTGCTTGCTACCGGCTACCGTTTTGTACAAATTTTTTTATAAAACATCAAATACGACTTTGCACAAAAGTTGCAACATCAAGCTATAAGAGCATGCATAAGATTTCCACATAAAGAACATGAATCAGTAACCACGCATGAAAGTTTTACAAAGGCAAAAAACTATGACATATGACACTTCTTCGCCAAGTGGAGATATCAAGTAACATACGTACAGTTCGCTCACTCAAACATACAGACCAAGTGGAGATTTCAAACATGTACAGGTTTCTCAGTGCATCATTCAAACAGAGGAATAAGGAATATTAAAAGGTTCCATCTGATATACGGCATAAATAAAAATGAAACACATAGACCACCTCTCCCTGAATCTTCTAGCTTCTTTCAGTCAACTCTAACAGAAAACTAACAAAAAAAAAAAAAGAACAGCTGCCCCTACTTCCTACATCTTCTGCTTCCTTCAACACTGCTTCAATGTACAGACCCTTCACCTGCTTCAATCCTGCTCCGGTTCAGTCTTTCTTCTTCTCTGATCTGTGGCTCCATTCCCTCAACACTGCATAGGCATACAATGACATGACGATTTGCATAGGCATACAATAAGCTAACTACTACTTATACAAATTTGTACACAACTGCCTGCTAATGGAGCAAAAGCAGTATTTCAATGTACAGAATAAGGAAAATAAACCACAAAGGGTGCCAGCAGAAAGAAAAGGTCACCATTAATTTCCTTCTACAAGCTGTAGAGGCATACAAAAATGAAAACACACTGCAGTTGTCAGTAGAAATCTAAGCCATGATGACCCTTCAGAAGAATGACGTACATTACATGCAGAACAATGAAAAGGAGGCAAAATACATTACATGCAGAAGAATGACGTACATTAGACTATGACTATATGATTTTGGTCTTTTTGGGATATCTTTAGTAAAAAATGAAAAATCTTTAATTTTATTCCAGCCTTCATATGAGCTACGCAAATTGCTAACAAATAGAAAAACAAGTTTCAGAGCGCACAAACAAATAACGCAAAGCTAAGCACTTAGTAAATCAGAGGCAGATTGGCCGCTAGTTGACCAAGAACCGGGTCCTGGTAGTTTAGAACTTCAGATAGCTGACATCTTTGTATCTGATGCAAAGAACTACAGATGGTGACGGTTTAAACCATGGTTGGTGTTATGTTGTAATCAACCATCTGCCATCTGGTATCCATATATGTACAGAATTAATGGCATTCTCCTATACCAAAAAGAGGTCAGCAATTCAGCATCGTTCAGAACTACAAGAAGAGCACAAGACAACGAAAGAGTGGAACACACAGAACAAAAGAGGTTTGATTGCTAACGACTTCAACAGGAAAATGTTATAAAAACAATTATATTCAATTGGTTTGGCCGAAAGGCATTGTAGTAAGCTCAGGAGCACAAACTACTGAAACTAGAGCTCCTCTCGTTCGTCAGTTCATGAGTTCGAACATACTACTGCTTCTTTGTGTGAACACACGGCAGGGGAAGCGGCGCCCGAAAAGGTTCCCCCGATGTGGTATCATAGCAGCTGCAAGGGCAGGCGTTGAACGCTCATCTACTGCGTCTCAGTAGCCACAGCAGGGGCAGCGCCGAGTCAGCTCCTTGCCTCTCATCTAGTCACCAGAGCGACATGACAGCTGTATTAGGACTAGATGGATAGAGTTGTATATATAGTTTGACACTGCAACTCAGTAAAGGGAGAGTTCAGTTTTGCCATCTCCTGTACAGAGCTCCGGCCAACGCTGGTGTCTCTGCTGCGTGTGTATGCTCTGTTCTCCCTCCCGTCTTCTATTTCTAACCATAGTGTGTGGTAGCCAACGACAGATCGTGGTCGGCAAGTCTGGTGTGTGCTCCGCAACACTAGTGAGTGGTCGGATATCTCCGTACCGGAGATCAAGAGGCCAACAAGCGGTATCAGAGCCGTACAAACGCCGTCGCCGGACTAATCGCTAGCGATGACACACGGTTCGGAGATGGGCGACAGCAGCGATGCTGCTGTGGCTGCCCAGCCACGACAGGAGGTCGTTGTGAGCACGGTGCAGGAGGTCAGCGGCACCAGTTGGCCGACGCTGACTCGCACCAACTATGGCGAGTGGTCGGTGACCACGAAGGTCAAGCTCAGAGCCCGACGGCTCTGGAATGCTGTTGACAAGGACACCGACAATGAAGAAGATGACATGTCAGCGTTGGAGGCTATCCTCGCTGCTGTACCGGCGGAGTACAGGGGCCGTTGGGGGCGAAGAGCTCTACTAAGGAGGCGTGGGAGGCTATTGCTGCGATGCGCATCGGTTCGGACCGCGCAAAGAAGGCGACGGCCCAGCTTTTGAAGCAAGAGTATGCCAACCTCAAGTTCAAGGATGGTGAATCGGTGGAGGATTTCTCCCTCTGCCTGTAGACGCTCATCAGCAAGCTGAAGAGCCACGACGTCACCATCGACGAAGAGGAGGCCGTCTCCAAGTACCTCCACTCCGTGCCAGGAAAGTACATCCAGATCGCTCTCTCCATAGAGACGATGCTGGACTTGTCCACCCTCACCATTGAGGATGTGACAGGCCGTGTGCGGGTAGTGGACGAGCGCCTGTAGCAGGCGACAGCAACGAAGGATAGCGGTAAACTGCTGCTGACAGAGGAGGAGTGGGCTGCTCAGAGGAACTCCAGGGTAGCCTCCTCTAGCCGTGGTGACGATGGCAAGCGCCGCGGCAAGGCTTCTTCGGACAAGAAGAAGCAGGTCTACTCCAACGCCTGCCGGCGCTACGGGAAGACGGGCTATTGGGCAAGGGAGTGCCTAAATCGCAAGCAGGATAAGAAGGCTGAGGCTCATCTGGCTCAGGCTGAAGATGATGATGAGACCACTGTCCTGATGGCGACATACTGTGCACTGCATGACATTGAGGCCGAGGAAAAGGGAGAGGTGATGGCGGTGGAAGGACCTAGGAAGGCCCTGAATGCTATCAACCTCGACGAACCATGCGCCCAAGTCCACTTCGGACGTGTGGGCGGCGAGTAGGATTAGCGGTGGTATCTGGACTCTGGTGCCAGCAACCACATGATCAGCTCCAAGGCAGCCTTCTCCGAGCTCAACGACGATGTAACCAGCACGGTGAAGTTCAGTGATGGCTCAAGGGGGGCGATCCAAGGGCGCGACACCATCACCTTCAGGTGCCAGAACAGCGAGCACCACGCGCTAACGGATGTATATTACATCCCGTAGCTGCGTTCAAGCTTCATCAACATTGGCCAGCTAGATGAGCGTGGTAGCGAGGTACTGATCAAGGACGGAATCCTTAGGATCAGGGACCGGGAGTAGCGACTTCTCGCCAAGGTGAAGAGGTCCCAGAACTGGTTGTATCTGCTCGACTTGAAGGTGGAGCAGCCGGTGTGCCTGGCGGCAAGGCACACCGAGGAGCCGTGGCTGTGGCATGCCCGGTTCGGCCATCTCAGCTAACGTGGCATGCTGGCTGTGCATTGACGTGACCCCTACATATAAGGTTGGTTCTTCAACTTGGCAAGGGTGTCACCTAGCTAGGTCCATCTACTCTCAAATGTTATTTCTAGGTCTATGAACTTGGCTTTGTGTATTATCCAGGTCCAAACGGGTCTTAACCCGCTATGTACGCTGACGTGGCACGTTGACTGTACATTGACATGACCCCTACATGTAAGGCCGGTCTTTCAACTTGGCAAGGGATATTTTAGCACACATGTAGTTTATATTTCATAACAATAGAGATGGATATCTAGATGCAAATTAAAGGGGTTATTTACATTATATTTATAGCAACATATGTGCTAATTTAGATGAGAACTTAAGGGTTACCGTATTATCTTTTATAAATTATAATCAAAGAGGTGAGTTATTTAAATGCAAAATTAGGATTTATTTTTAAATTATCTTTCACGATGGCAAATGTGAATAATATAGATGCAAATTTAATATGCTAATTTAAATTGTCTTTTATAATGGCTAAAGTGGGTATTTAGACGCAATTTTATATGATTATTTTATTTATTTTTCATAATGGCATAAAGTGGTGGTAATTGTTAAAAAATAAATCCAATGGTTATTATTAACGATAATTGTTAGAGTCTAGTAAATTAATGACCAGATGCTTATGAATATACGAGAGTTTTTAAGATTTATTTTTTTTCTTAACACGTATCGTGAGGATTAATGTTACATTAGAGCCGCCAATTAATAATAGTAAGCAGATTGTCATCATCATGTATTTCATTCTGTCATAATAACCCCAGTCAGAAAGTGTCCATACATATATACTGTATTCATCAGATCGATCGATAAGACAACCGGTCCAGCACGGGATCGACTCCGAGCTGAACATAGTACACAATCACTTAGACCAAACTGCATGCTGATCGATGATGGCGGTGCCTATACTGCTGCTAAGTGCTAGCTAGTTAGCACGCCATTATTGATTTGTTGGCCCTTATTGACGAGACTGGTGCTATATATTTGCTGGATTATACATGTACGTCGTCCTTAGGCGGACGCCGAGGCAGGAGTGCCGATGTACTTCTTGATGGCGTCCAGGATATCATCCTTCTCGGGACCTTCAATGGTCTCCAGCGTCTCGCCGTTCTTGATGAAGACGAAGGTCGGCATCCCGTCGATCTTGTAGAAGTCAGCAACTTCCTGTCGAACCATCGAGGAAACAGCATGATCAGTACATGCATGGGCGGGGTTGAAATCAAACGCACATGCATGCAGGCATCATACCAGTACCAATATATATATTGTTGGAGTTTGGGACGACACCGCCGTCGCTCACCTTGAGTTCGAAAACATTAACCTCGAGGAAGACAGCGCTAGGGAACTTCTTGGCCCACTCCGCGTACACCGGGGCAATCTCTAGGCAAAAAGGGCACGAGGGGGACATGAAGTCGATGATCACCTGATGATAAGGGGTAGGCCGGTGAGACAGGTTGATAAAGCTCAATGTCAGAGGCTGTAGAATTGTTGCATCACAAGAACAAGAACTCATCATCATTGTCGGGGGGAAAAAAAGAACAAGAACTCATCCTAATCGTTGAAAAGACAGCATACCATGCATGGATTCATGCATGGGAACCTTGCATACATGTAGTATATTGGCTGCTAACCCTGACACTGGATGCGCATGCATGATTCATGTCACAATTGCCGCCTCCAGTTAACCAGTCAGTCAAAATTAAGTTACCGCAAGCTCACACTGATTTCATTTCGATCTGGCAATAATCCCAACACGCGCCCAAACGCGAGCACCTTCGATGCAATTCAGAACAAATTTGGAAACCAGAGACGAATCGTGGAAACCTGAACAGAGCTTTTGCAATTTCGGAAACCAGAGAGACGAATTGAGGAAACCTGAACAGCTTTTCCCAAACAACAATAATATATCACGGGATGCAGATGGCGTACCAGCTTGCCGGCCTCCTTGCCCTTGGCCATCTGGGCGTCGAACTCATCCTTGGTGTGGCACGCGATCACGGCCCCCTGCGCGGCTGCCATTCCTCTCCCTCTCTTCTTCCGATCCCCGCTCCCCGGTGGGATCAAAAGCTAGCTTCTGATGCTGACTGAGAACTGAGGTTTCTCTCGGGGCCGGGATGGCTTGCGGAGATTATTGCGTTGGTGGCTTCATATGGGGCGCGTGCCTTGCGGCTTTTATAGGCGCAGCGACTGGGAGTGGGAGGGGCGAGCGAGTACGTGTTGGCGCCTGTTGGGTCGCGACGGGGGAGCTTTGGTGGCGGTCTTCAACTCTCTGCTTGACACGGTGTGCCTGTCGAATTTTTTTAGCGTGTGCTTGGTTGGTTGCACTACCGGAGGCGGCTTCTTCGCCGAGGCACTCGGCACAGGCCGATATACACTCGGCAAAGGCTTTGCCGAGTGCCAATCCGACACTCGGCAAAGAAAAGTGGCCGTGACGACGAGCGCCACCGTGACGGCGGCTTTGCCGAGTGTCAAGGTTAAACACTCGTCAATGGTGGCCACTCTGCCGAGTGCCGCCGGCAAGACACTCGGCAAACAGACGACCTTTGCCGAGTGCCTGGCCCGTGACACTCGACAAACCTGTGATGTTTGCCGAGTGCAATGGCCTTTGCACTCGGCAAAGCATGTTCCCAGGTAGTTCCCAGGTAGTCACTTTGCCAAGTGTCATGACCATTGCACTCGGCAAAGTGACTGAAAACAGTCTTTTTTATTTGTTTTTTTATATTCTATCCAAACAAACAGAAGATATATATAACAAACATCACCAACATCACATATATATCATCAACAGTACATATATATCATCAACACCACATATATATCACAAACGTCACATATATATCACAAACGGCACATGTCTCACAATATATCACAAATAAGTTCACAAGTAATCCAAGTGCTCCATCATCTACAACCACAATTGCAAATAGAAGTAACATTAACAACCACAAGTATCATCACTGATTTGGTGAAGGATTCACTGAAGCATGAGGATCGTTCGATGCCGTCGATTGATTCTGCACAAAAGAGAAGAGATTGCATGTGTGAGACAAGATAAATATATACCATACATGAATAAAACTTTCATACTCCACTAGGTTTGACCGTAAGCATGAACATACAAACTAAAACATTTATACTCACAGGAGTAGAATAGTGAGGAGGTGAAGGTGGAGGTGGAGCGAATAGCGAAGGTGGCGGAACTACACCCGTAGCGGCGTCAAGACTTTGCATGTACTGAAGAATCTCCGCCATCCTCCGCTGCTCGGCCTCCCACTCGGCCCGCTCAGCCTCCTGCTCGGACTCCACCCTCTCCATCTTCGCCTGTATCTGCTCCCGTATCCTCCTCTCTTGTTTCAGCTGGGCCTACAATATATTTTCCCCAATGTTACAATAATGCAAAGGAAAGGTATGAAAAAACCAATGAATGACGAATAAACCAGGAATAACCTCGAGTGCCTCCACCCGGTGGTGTGAAGTGTCCTGCCGAGGTCGTATGGCCGGGCTCCTGCTCGTGCTGCTTGCTCGAATCTGGAAGAGACTGGGAGTAGCGGCCAAGTCGATTGCACAATCGCCAATCCAGTACCGCCCATGCTTCTTGCCTCGTCCCACCCTCATGACGACTTCTCCATCAAGGTCCTCGGTGCTCGGATCATACTGTGGCCCATGGACCTCCCTTGCCCTTGATGTGTACTCACTGAGGCGGTTGTGAACAGTCGCATTGCTGTACGCCTCGGGCCCATCCTCTGGTTGTAGTCGACGTCGGACGTCGCCTTGCCCTTGTGGGCCATAGCAAATGCCTTGAAGATGGAGCAAGGCTGGCCACCATGTGACCCCGACTGCGAGAAAAACAGCAAGATGATTAGAAATCATGCAGAATTGAGCGTTAGAATAAATAAATGAATTCGCGTACCCATATTTCTGCGTATCAGCTAAGGCTGCGGCTGCCTTGATGGTGTGCTACACCTGGCATCATTAAACGCCGCTCCCGGCACAAGTTGTGCGTCTCCTCCACTCGTGTGAGCACCACTTGTCCACCATCTGTTCCCAGCACTGGGGATGCGCGACGCACCAATAAGGAATCATCTACAGGCCATCAAGTACATGACATATCAGAAGATGAAATTAAGCGTACTTAATCTCAAAAGGAATCAGTATTAATGTTCTGTATTTACCTGCAGGTACTGGTCCCGGGTCAGCGTCATGCTCCTTGCGTCCCTTTTGGTGACCTTCGTTCTAAGGACGGTCCCGTGGTAAGTTATGACGGCCTGGATGCGCGCCTCGTAATGCATGTCCACGACGAGTTTTTTGTAGCATTTGGTAGCCACCGCATTCGCCCTGGCATCTAAAGAAATCCTGCATACAAACACGATGTATCCATTCATTATTTTAAGAATGTCCAATGAATGCGATGTATTGAGCAATGTAGCGCGAGGAGGACTTACCCACAACTCTTGCTTCACCCGCTCCGCCTTGTTGAATACCCTACGGCCCCGATCTGCAGCATCGGGGGCGGCGGTGTAGTGGTCAAACGAGTAGGCCGGTGCCATCACTCCGGCGTACTCAACCAGGCTAGGGAAGTGCTCCTTGCACAGAAGACCGAGGATGCCATTGACTTGGCGTGTGTGAGCACCTCCACTCGACACAATCATCCAGTTCCTGCCCAAGTGATTAAGAAAAATTATTAGTTTGTATTTTGATTTTCAACATATCATATAAAGTAGTGATAACATCTAAAGTTACTTACTTTTCCCCCACGGGTCGAATCAGCGGGAGTCTCTCACGAGGTATCGGTCGCTGAGGGAGGCTCGTGGGACCTCGCAAGTAGACGCTCGACGAACTAGAGGAAGCAGAACCCCCTGCTATCGCCTCCTCCTCCTCGTCCTCGTGCGCCTCCTCGGCGTCCTCCTGAGGCACCTGCTCCTCATCCTCCTCCTCACGCGATGGGGCGGCAGGCGATGGCTCCCTCCTGCGGCTGCTCCTCCTCCTACTCTCCCCTGGTGCAGCGGTGCTTGTCCTTCGGTGCAAGGACGTTAGCTTCCTCGTCCCACCGCCCACCATCTTTGTTCAATCACCTGCAATTAAAAAGAGTAAACCAATAAGCACAGATAAACAAGAGATTCTCGGGAGCAAAGCGAAGTTATCAACAAAATTATTAGAAGTTTTGCAAGGAGATAATATATATAGAACGAATTTGAGAATAGTCATGATAAACAAGAAGTACTTAGAAAGAGATGCAAAATAAACAAAACGTAATTACAAAATAAAATAGTATTAAAACATGGCTGGGGTTAGTAAGGTTCGAGGAATAATATCTATATCTATTCATTAAAAAAAACTGATTCACTAACTTTGTCACTATTTAAACCCCATATGTTCTAACTGTATCAGCCCCGTGTTGCTCAATGGATCACAATTCGCAATTTCACATTACATATGCATATATAAGTATGATCAGTAGAAGCCAAATAACAAACGTAATTACACAATAAAATAGTATTAAAACATGGCTGGGGTTAGTAAGGTTCGAGGAATAATATCTATATCTATTCATTAAAAAAAACTGATCACTAACTTTGTCACTATTTAAACCCCATATGTTCTAACTGTATCAGCCCCGTGTTGCTCAATGGATCACAATTCGCAATTTCACATTACATATGCATATATAAGTATGATCAGTAGAAGCCAAATAACATCTCAGTCTTCATATGCCAAGGAAGGGCATCTACGGAACGATGAAGCACTAACAAATTAGAAAAAACCTAGGGCCCAGAGGAGGCTTACTAAAACCAACAATGCAACATTCAGGGGAAAAAAAACTACCCACCAACATGGATTAAGCTAACAGATACACTGACCAACGCTGACATAGCTACGAAAACGCTAAGCAAAGAAATATCCGAGACCTAAAGCTAGCTACAGCCCACACGGATCAGCAAATCATTTCTTTCCATCGATCAGTGCACCCTAGCAACCGCCTGGCATCGAGACTGTCAGCAATCGCGCGGGAGCGGCACGCACGCACGCACCGGGAGGATCTTGTCGGTGTGGGCCTCCCACGCGTCAGAGACGAGGCTGAGCAACCCCGGCTGTGTCGCCTGGCTCGCGCGGCCCCCCGCGGCCCCGCCGCCGCCGTCGTCGTCGGCACCCGCGGAGGCGGCTTGTGGCAACGGCGGCTTGGCGAGGAGGATATTGGGCGGCGGTGGGGGAGGCGGGTGCTGGTGGTGGCTGTGGTGGTGGGAGGCAGAGGAGGAGGAGCCCCGATCGCCGGCGAGCGGCGAAGGTCAGGCGGCCATGGCGTCTCGGGCGTGGCGGCGCTGGCGCGGGGCGCGGGCGTGCATGTGTGCGTTGTGTGTGGGCTGGCTGGGCCGGCAAGTTAAATCACCCCTTTGCCGAGTGCCCCAGATCTAGCACTCGGCAAAGGTTTTTTTTACATCTTTGCCAAGTGCCACCTGGCCTGGCACTCGGCAAATAGGGGTTTTTTTAAAAATTTTTGCCGAGTGCCTACGATCTGGCACCGGACTAGCTCTCGACAAAGAGGGGTTTTTTTATTTTTATTTTTTAAAAATTCTTTGCCGAGTGTCTTATCCTGACACTCGGCAAAGAGGTGATTTGCCGAGTGTTATTTTTTGGCACTCGACAAACCATATTTTTTTTTTATTTTTGACTTTCAAACTTTTTCTGCAGTCCTCATACAATACCTGGTACTCCATGTTCCAATGTGGCACATTTCTCGGACTTTTTCTATATTTCTTTAATTTATTTCATTTAATTGAATTTTCTTGGATAATTCAAATTATAACAGCTAGTCATTCGAATAATGAAAAAAAATTGGAAAAATGATATTCATGTTATTTAGTGTAATGTGAGGCCGTATTCAGGAACAGACCACCAATTTTGAACATCTTGTTCACGAAACATGACCATGAACTTGCGGTCGAGTTGTTTTTAAATTCTATAAAAAGCAAACGAAGTCCAAAAATCATGAAACTTGTCTAGATATCATGATATCATATGTGGACGCTGTGATAAAAATTTGAGAAGGTTTCGCGCAAGTTGTCACGTACGGTTACCACCTCGTCGGTCTCTTCACGAAATCATGAAACTTTTTCGGAGATTCTTCGGTTTGTAAACACCGTACGTGACAACTTGCGCGGAACCTTCTCAAATTTTTATCACAGCCTTCACATATGATATCATGACATCTAGACAAGTTTCATGATTTTCGGACTTCGTTTGCTTTTTATATAATTTAAAAACAACTCGACCGCAAGTTCGTGGTCATGTTTCGTAAACAAGATGTTCGAAATTGGTGGTCTGTTCCTGGATACGACCTCACATCATACTAAATAACATGAATATCATTTTTTCATTCATTTTTTTTCATTATTCGAATGACTAGCGGTTATAATTTGAATTATCCAAGAAAATTCAATTAAATGAAATAAATTAAAGAAATAAAGAAAAAGTCCAAGAAATGTGCCACATTGGAACATGGAGTACCAGGTATTGTATGAGGACTACAGAAAAAGTTTGGAGGTCAAAAGTGAAAAAATATGGTTTGCCGAGTGTCAGAAGATGACACTCGGCAAATCACCTCTTTGTCGAGTGTCAGGAGAAGACACTTGGCAAAGGGTTAACGGCGGCTGCCGGCCATTAACGGCGGCGGCCCTTTGCCGAGTGTCAGGAGAATAACACTCGACAAAACTGGTTTTGCCGAGTGTTATTGTTTGCCGAGTGCTCGGTACTCGGCAAACCACCTATTTGCCGAGTGCTTTCACTCAGGCACTCGGCAAACAGCCTCTTTGCCGAGTGCCCGATAAAAAGCACTCGGCAAAGTCTGTGACACTCGGCAAAGAAGCCGTCTCCGGTAGTGTTGGATATGCATGGATGGAATGGAGCATACATGGTTATCAAGGTTTGGTTTGGTGGATCACTGGGATCAGGAAATCTCTAGATAGGGAATATAGCACAAGATGCTGGATTTCCTAGTGTGTACTGATTTAAATTATTATCGATACGTGTATTATCTCATACTCCATCGTTATTCAAAAATAAAGTCGTCTTGGACAGCGAAACGGTCTCTAAAGCATAACTTTGACACCTTATTTTTATAAAACTATTTATCAAAAAGTGGTATATGTATATTTTTATGAAAGTATTTTTCAAGACAAATCTTTTTATATTATTTTCACATTTCCAAACTCAACAACTTAAAAGTTATTCATGATTTATATTCTCAATGTTTGACCCAAGACTTCTCCAAAACGACTTTATTTGTGAGTACGAAGGGAGTACTATCAAACGTCCTCATACATCAAGTGAACGCGTTTCAGCACATTGGCACCCAAACGTGGTGTGTGTTTCGACGTTTGAACAACTGTGTGTATATTAAATCACAAATACAGTTTGAATTTTGGTGGGAAATATACTAGAGCAAATCTTGGCGTGAAATGTACCAGAGGCGGCTAGAGTACAACCATCTCTAAAAATAGATTTGTACAGACGGCTTCCATTCCCAACCGCATCCGTTGATCATATAAGTTTGGACCCTTTGTACTCTTACTATTTTTTTTGCTACTGCACAATATAACTCAGACACTCACAACGCACGCACACTCACCCCTATGAATGCATGCACGCAAACCATATCTCTATGAGCATCCTCGAGATTGACGAAGTCACCACAAGTGCCTCGCTTGCGACTAAAACGTCGTTTACCACTGAAAGCACAACGCCGTTAAATCCTGGAATATTCACTCCCACGGGAGTCGAATCCAGGACTTAAAGTGCTACTGACACTCTTATAACTAATAGGCTACAGGCACTTTCGCCCTTTGTACTTTATCTTATCCCCGTGATCGTATAAGTTTGTAGCAAAGGCGAAGTATAATGCACTACATACCCATGCATGGACCATTTTAGATATATTATTTGAAGGTGACACGGTAGCTTGCCATTGTATACAAAGTCTTCTTTGTAATAGTAACGTGTTAGGGTAGTGTCGTGTTTTTATTGATAATATACGAACCCCGACTTAATTAAGGAAGATGCAAAGAGTAGAACATACATGTATACATCGGGTGTCAATGAATAGAAGTTTGCTGCTATTTTAGTTTTATCATCAAGCTGCACTTATGCATACATTGTTGGAAAATGAGTTGAACCACATAGTGCACATATATCCCCTTGTGACCAATTAAGTCGTGCTTAGACGCTTAGTACACCCCACATATAAAGTGATATCAGTTTATTGCAAAGGGAAACTATATATGAGTCGTGCACTATACCCACCATGTACCATTTGAGATATTATTGGAAGGTGAGGGCGGTTGCCATTGCCACCCAACCATTACTTTGTACAGTAGTGTAGTATAGCGCGTCCCGTGTTTCTTTGATAACAGCTACTCATATAAAATAAAATGTATGGACCCCAACTTAAGGAAGCTGCAAAGAGTAGAAAGTAGAAACCATATATACCTCGGGTGTCAATGAATAATAGAAGTTCGCTGCTATTTCAATTTTGTCATCAAGCTGCATTTGTGCACATTATTGTTGGGAAATGACTATTTACAAATTGAACTTGATATCTAACGCATGTCATCATCCTTGGAACATCATATTCTCTACTAGGTGCTCTGCAAGTGGAACAAGGAATTTGGTATTTGGAGAGGTGTAGCTATCAGTGATTTGAGTTCCACATTTCGCATCTAATTTGTACAGCCACAGTTACTCACGTGTAATACCTGGAAGCATAAGCATCCATAGGTGCGGTTTTCTTGTCGTGCAAAATGGGAGGCCCAAGAAAGGCCACCAGTAAGATAAGACGGCACAGGGCATATACATTCTGTTTAGTTACTCATAATTGATATTGGCCTTGAAAAATACAGCAATAGTACTACTTAACACGATTTTATAGTATTATATAGGTGGGTAAACAAATTTTGTCAAATTTGTGCAAGGCTTCATCTATGTTACATTTTTTTAAGAAAGAAAAAATGGATCGTGTATCTAGCATAAGCTTCCTCTCTGTATCCGAAGACGGAAGCATGGATGCTCTTTTTTTTTCAGAGCTAATTGTTGTATGTTAAGAAAACATAGTTTTGCCCAAGAGAACACAGGGCTGGGTAGATTCCTCTCTTTTATGTGTGTGATATATGCACTCCTCCGTCTTAAGTTCTAGATATCAGTCAAATTTTTAGAAAAACCAGATAAGTCGCTTTGACTTTTTGGTTCATCAAATTTACTATGTATCTAGACATATTATTATATCTAGATACGTAGCAAAATGGATGTACCAAAAAAAAAGTCAAAGCGATTTATAATTTGTAACGGAGGGAGTAGTGTTTTTATAATATTTACCATGACAAAATGCTACTTGTATAGAAATTGGAATCAAAATTTCACCTTTTATACTGTGCTAATGTTCTATATACAGCTTATATTTGTGACTAGCTAGAGTGAGCACATAATCACTCTAGTCACAAATATAATAATGTCTTAAATGTACAAGCTTTGGTTCTCTCAAAAAAAATGTGCAAGCTTTGTGACCCTTAGAAACATTTTTTATCTTATACAATTTTGTCAAAAGTTTTACATTTCTTCTCATTTTTTAAATATGTATTTGTAATATATCTTTTAGCCACCACATATCACCCTATTTGGATTTATAGGACTAACAACTAGTTGATTATTTGTTAGACCCCAAGGATCCAAATAGGCAGACTAATTGTTAGTCCACTAGTCTATAGATATGAGCTAACATGACTATTTGTTAGTCCTAGTCCATCAGTATGCCAAAATCCGCCAGTCTAAATTACTCCCCTCATCCCGAATAGACTTGCCTTTTTATGAGAATTTTAGGAACTTGGGATCTTAGTGTGCAATTTGCATGTACCGAAACCGAGACATATATGAGAACCCGAGATAAGTTTAGCGAACCAAACGTGCAATTTGCAAGTTCCACAACTAGGATGAGAACTCGAAACAAGTTTAAGGAGCTGAATGTGCAATTTCAAAAAGTACCAAGATCCAAATGAGAACTCGGGACAAGCTAGTTTGAGGACCGCTACTAAAATTTACTCTTTGATCTTATTAATTGTGCATCTTTTATCCACGTCTAGAATCTCTAGGGCTTAACGTCTTATTATCTTTTATTTAAAGTTTCCTACATAATGTAACAAGAGTATTAATATAATTTAAAGTGATTTTTTTAGCGTTATTGGTATACGATTTGTGAAGGGAATTCACTGTCACCGTATATGGCTTAGCTTTATGTGCTGGGGATGAGCCTGGGGCAAAGGATACAAGCAGCTCAGCGTCGTCATCATCATGTGTTTCATTCAGTCATGCTCGTAGAGACATGAAGGCAGACACCCGGATTATTGCAACCCCAGTCAGAAGTATCTCCATACATTCTGTACTCATCAGATCGATAACATATCGACTCCGAGCTGAACATAAGAGTACACAATAATCACTTATTTAATTAGACGACCAAACTGATCGATAATGGCGGTGCCTCCTGCTAGCTACCACGCCATTCGTTGGCCCTTATTGACGACTGGTGATAGATGCTATACTTAGTTTGCTATACGTCTCCTTAGGCGGACGACGCAGAGGCTGCAGAAGTGTTGTCGATGAACTCCTTGATGGTGTTGCGGAGCTTATCTGGATAGGCACCAACAAAGCTCTCCAGCGTCAGATCGTCCCTGATGAAGACGAAGGTCGGCGCCGCCTGGATGTTGTAGCTCTTAGCAACTTCCTGTACGTCGTCGAACGAGGAAACACAGCTAGCATGATCAGCATACGATGACGACATGATCGATCATGGGGCCGGGTTGAATTGAAACCAAATGCATGCACATGATTTGGTGAATTAATTAATTAATCACCTATATATATTGGCTATTATTGGGACGACACCGACACCGTACGTACTCACCTTCAGTTCGAGAATGTCGACCTTGAGGAAGACACCTTTAGTAGGGTACTCCTTGGCGCACGCCGCGAACACCGGGGCTATCTCTTGGCAAGCACCGCACGTGGGGGACATGAAGTCGATCACCACCTGATCGATCGACGCCAGGGTAGAGGACATGAAACAGGTTGCTGACAAATTAGTAAGCTCAATGCTAGAAAGAATTGTTAGTAGTAACAAGAACAGGAACAAAAAACTCATCGTTGAACAGACAGCGCGGGCATATTATCGAGAAAATTAAATTACAGAGACAGATCGATGGCATACGTACCAGCTTGCCGGCCTCGTTGCCCTTGGCCAACTGGGCGTCGAACTCCTCCTTGGTGTGGCACGCGATCACGGTCCCCTCCGCCGCGCCCGCCATTCCTCTCGCTGTCTTCTTCTTCCTCGCTGGGATCGAAAGCTAGCTTCTGATGCTGACTAAGGTTTTCTCTCGGCGGCTGGCTGGTGGCCAGTGGCCTAACCTAGGCGCGAGCCGCGGCTTTTATAGGCGCAGCAACGTGTGGGGTCGAGGGAGCTTGGGCGGCGGCTCCGATCCCGGCCCGGTGCTATTCGTACTCCGGGGTCTTGAGCTCCATCTCTACATACCGTAACTGATCCATCGACCCATTTGCTGTTTACCGCGGTGCACCAATATTGGATAGTATATGGGTCCGTTGTTTACTTAGACAAGAGCACGATGAGGTTACTGCTTCTCGTTGGTTGCTTGCTTAAACAAGAGCACGGCTTGCTTGCTACCGGCTACCGTTTTGTACAAATTTTTTTATAAAACATCAAATACGACTTTGCACAAAAGTTGCAACATCAAGCTATAAGAGCATGCATAAGATTTCCACATAAAGAACATGAATCAGTAACCACGCATGAAAGTTTTACAAAGGCAAAAAACTATGACATATGACACTTCTTCGCCAAGTGGAGATATCAAGTAACATACGTACAGTTCGCTCACTCAAACATACAGACCAAGTGGAGATTTCAAACATGTACAGGTTTCTCAGTGCATCATTCAAACAGAGGAATAAGGAATATTAAAAGGTTCCATCTGATATACGGCATAAATAAAAATGAAACACATAGACCACCTCTCCCTGAATCTTCTAGCTTCTTTCAGTCAACTCTAACAGAAAACTAACAAAAAAAAAAAAAAAGAACAGCTGCCCCTACTTCCTACATCTTCTGCTTCCTTCAACACTGCTTCAATGTACAGACCCTTCACCTGCTTCAATCCTGCTCCGGTTCAGTCTTTCTTCTTCTCTGATCTGTGGCTCCATTCCCTCAACACTGCATAGGCATACAATGACATGACGATTTGCATAGGCATACAATAAGCTAACTACTACTTATACAAATTTGTACACAACTGCCTGCTAATGGAGCAAAAGCAGTATTTCAATGTACAGAATAAGGAAAATAAACCACAAAGGGTGCCAGCAGAAAGAAAAGGTCACCATTAATTTCCTTCTACAAGCTGTAGAGGCATACAAAAATGAAAACACACTGCAGTTGTCAGTAGAAATCTAAGCCATGATGACCCTTCAGAAGAATGACGTACATTACATGCAGAACAATGAAAAGGAGGCAAAATACATTACATGCAGAAGAATGACGTACATTAGACTATGACTATATGATTTTGGTCTTTTTGGGATATCTTTAGTAAAAAATGAAAAATCTTTAATTTTATTCCAGCCTTCATATGAGCTACGCAAATTGCTAACAAATAGAAAAACAAGTTTCAGAGCGCACAAACAAATAACGCAAAGCTAAGCACTTAGTAAATCAGAGGCAGATTGGCCGCTAGTTGACCAAGAACCGGGTCCTGGTAGTTTAGAACTTCAGATAGCTGACATCTTTGTATCTGATGCAAAGAACTACAGATGGTGACGGTTTAAACCATGGTTGGTGTTATGTTGTAATCAACCATCTGCCATCTGGTATCCATATATGTACAGAATTAATGGCATTCTCCTATACCAAAAAGAGGTCAGCAATTCAGCATCGTTCAGAACTACAAGAAGAGCACAAGACAACGAAAGAGTGGAACACACAGAACAAAAGAGGTTTGATTGCTAACGACTTCAACAGGAAAATGTTATAAAAACAATTATATTCAATTGGTTTGGCCGAAAGGCATTGTAGTAAGCTCAGGAGCACAAACTACTGAAACTAGAGCTCCTCTCGTTCGTCAGTTCATGAGTTCGAACATACTACTGCTTCTTTGTGTGAACACACGGCAGGGGAAGGCGGCGCCGAAAAGGTTCCCTGATGTGGTACTGTAGCCGCTGCAAGGGCAGGCGTTGAACGGCTCATCTACCGTACTGTAGCCACAGCAGGGGCAGGCGCCAGAGTCAGCCCTGCTGTCTCATCTAGTCACTGTAGCAGCATGACAGCTGTATTAGGACTAGATGGATAGAGTTGTATATATAGTTTGACACTGCAACTCAGTAAAGAGAGAGTTCAGTTTTGCCATCTCCTGTACAGAGCTCCGGCCAACGCTGGTGTCTCTGCTGCGTGTGTATGCTCTGTTCTCCCTCCCGTCTTCTATTTCTAACCATAGTGTGTGGTAGCCAACGACAGATCGTGGTCGGCAAGTCTGGTGTGTGCTCCGCAACACTAGTGAGTGGTCGGATATCTCCGTATCGGAGATCAAGAGGCCAACAAGTGGTATCAGAGCCGTACAAACGCCGTCGCCGGACTAATCGCTAGCGATGACACACGGTTCGGAGATGGGCGACAGCAGCGGTGCTGCTGTGGCTGCCCAGCCACGACAGGAGGTTGTTGTGAGCACGGTGCAGGAGGTCAGCGGCACCAGTTGGCCGACGCTGACTCGCACCAACTATGGCGAGTGGTCGGTGACCACGAAGGTCAAGCTCAGAGCCCGACGGCTCTGGAATGCTGTTGACAAGGACACCGACAATGAAGAAGATGACATGTCAGCGTTGGAGGCTATCCTCGCTGCTGTACCGGCGGAGTACAGGGGCCGTTGGGGGCGAAGAGCTCTACTAAGGAGGCGTGGGAGGCTATTGCTGCGATGCGCGTCGGTTCGGACCGCGCAAAGAAGGCGATGGCCCAGCTTCTGAAGCAAGAGTATGCCAACCTCAAGTTCAAGGATGGTGAATCGGTGGAGGATTTCTCCCTCTGCCTGTAGACGCTCATCAGCAAGCTGAAGAGCCACGACGTCACCATCGATGAAGAGGAGGCAGTCTCCAAGTACCTCCACTCCGTGCCAGCAAAGTACATCCAGATCGCTCTCTCCATAGAGACGATGCTGGACTTGTCCACCCTCACCATTGAGGATGTGACAGGCCGTGTGCGGGTAGTGGACGAGCGCCTGTAGCAGGCGACTGCAACGAAGGATAGCGGTAAACTGCTGCTGACAGAGGAGGAGTGGGCTGCTCGGAGGAACTCCAGGGTAGCCTCCTCTAGCCGTGGTGACGATGGCAAGCGCCGCGGCAAGGCTTCTTCGGACAAGAAGAAGCAGGTCTACTCCAACGCCTGCCGGCGCTACGGGAAAACGGGCTATTGGGCAAGGGAGTGCCTAAATCGCAAGCAGGATAAGAAGGCTGAGGCTCATCTGGCTCAGGCTAAAGATGATGATGAGACCACTGTCCTGATGGCGACGTACTGTGCACTGCATGACATTGAGGCCGAGGAGAAGGGAGAGGTGATGGCGGTGGAAGGACCTAGGAAGGCCCTGAATGCTATCAACCTCGACGAACCACGCGCCCAAGTCCACTTCGGACGTGTGGGCGGCGAGTAGGATTAGCGGTGGTATCTGGACTCTGGTGCCAGCAACCACATGACGGGCTCCAAGGCAGCCTTCTCCGAGCTCGATGACGATGTAACCAGCACGGTGAAGTTCAGTGACGGCTCAAGGGGGGCGATCCAAGGGCGCGACACCATCACCTTCAGGTGCCAGAACAGCGAGCACCGCATGCTAACGGATGTATATTACATCCTGTAGCTGCGTTCAAGCTTCATCAACATTGGCCAGCTAGATGAGCGTGGTAACGAGGTACTGATCAAGGACGGAGTCCTTAGGATCAGGGACCGGGAGTAGCGACTTCTCGCCAAGGTGAAGAGGTCCCAGAACTGGTTGTACCTGCTCGACTTGAAGGTGGAGCAGCCGGTGTGCCTGGCGGCAAGGCACACCGAGGAGCCGTGGCTGTGGCATGCCCGGTTCGGCCATCTCAGCTTCGACGCGCTTGGTCGGCTAGAGAAGATGGTCCGAGGGCTGCCTCACATCGAGCACAGAGGCGAGCTATGTGACAGCTGCCTGGCCGGGAAGCAGAGGAGGCTGTCATTCCCAAGGGTGGCCAAGTATCGCATGGAGGACGCTCTCGAGCTCGTCCACGGCGATCTCTGCGGGCCAATCACGCCAGCCACAAACGGTGGTCGGCGGTACTTCCTCCTGCTCGTGGATGATTGCAGTCGCTATATGTGGCTGCAACTCCTGACGAGCAAGGACGAAGCAGCGACGACGATCAAGAAGTTCAAGATGCGCGCAGAGGCCGAGAGCAGCAAGAAGCTCCGCGTGCTGAGGACTGATTGCGGCGGTGAGTTCACTTCGGCGGAGTTCTCTACGTACTGCACGGATCAAGGTGTGGTGCGACACCACACCGCGCCATACTCGCCACAGCAGAATGGCGTGGTGGGGCGACAGAACCAGACGACGGTGGGCATGACCCGATCCATGATGAAGGCCAAGAGCATGCCGGCAAGGTTCTGGGGTGAGGCGGTGACCACAGCGGTGTTCATCCTCAACCGCGCTCCCACCAAGG